GGGTGGGGGGGTGGCAGCTAACAGAGTGGTGCTGTTGCAGTGACACCCCTGGATGTGGTGAAGATCAGACTGCAGGCCCAGAGGACGCCCTTCTCCAAAGGTACCTCTGTGGGGACTGGCATCCCCAAGCAGTGCTGGGCTGGGGGTGGCAGCAGTGGGGCAGGCGGGTGCCATGCGCACCTTTGTCCCAGTTCAGGGCTGGGTGGAAGCTCGGTGGGCTCCAGGGCACCGTTCCATCTTCCTCCCCCCGCTGCTGGTGTCTGTGCTGTGTGACCACCCCACACCTCCTGGCCAACCCCCCCCCCCCGGCCCGGTGTGGCCCCGCGCGGGGTGCAGGGACACAGGACAGCGGTCCCACGAGGGTGGCACATCCCCAGTGCCATCGCTCAGCCTGTCCCTGTTGTGTTTCAGCGTGGTTGGTGCGATCGGTGCCCCAGGGCTCACAGCATGCCACATGTGAGTACGTGGGGGTTAAAGATCCCCCTGGCTCCAGCTTGCTTCTCTGCTGGTGTCATCTGCAGGGATATCCTGGACCCGAGCCTTTCCCTTGCTTGGTCCCACTGAGTGTGCTGATGGTGCCTGGGTGCTGCTGGTGGGGCAGGATGCTTGCAGGCAACGGGGAATCGCCTTGCTGTCTCCCCCAGCCCTGCTGTGATGCTCAGGCACGAGGCTTCAGTGCTGTCCTGGGAGATGTGATGGTCTGGAGGCGGGCAGAGGGATGTGTCCAGGCTGGGGTCGGTCTGGCGGTGATGCTGTCTCGTCTTCCACTCTCTCAGGGAAGTGTTTCCTCTACTGCAACGGGCTCATGGATCATCTGTACGTCTGTCAGAATGGCAACAGCTGCACTGCCTGGTACAAGACCCCCACCTGCTTCAACGGCACGCTGGTAGGGGCTGCAGGGACTGCCTGTCCCGCGGTGGGGGCCCAGAGGTGCCCTTGGCCCCGTCCAACCCTTCTGCGTGCGTCCCCACAGGATGCCTTTGTGAAGATCACACGCCACGAGGGCATCAGGTCCCTGTGGAGCGGGCTCCCCCCAACACTGTGAGTATGGATCTGGGCGGTGGGACCCCCGCTCTGTGCCCCCCCTGGGCCGCCCTCATCCCCCATCTCCTCGCAGGGTGATGGCTGTGCCAGCCACCGTCATCTATTTCACCACCTACGACCAGCTGCGGGACTGCCTGCATGCCCGCACCGGGAGCCGGGGCCCCCACATCCCGCTGCTGGCGGGGGCCCTCGCTCGGCGTGAGTAGCACGGTGCCTCACAGCCCCCCCTCTGCTCCCACTGCGCGGCTCTGACCTCTGCTTTCCCCCCCTGCAGTGGGTGCTGTGACATTGATCAGCCCCTTGGAGCTGATCCGCACCAAGATGCAATCCCGACAGCTCAGCTACCGCGAGCTGCGCGTCTGCATCCAGTCGGCGGTGGCTCAGGATGGCTGGCTGTCCCTGTGGAGGGGATGGGGGCCCACGGTGCTGCGGGACGTCCCCTTCTCCGGTATGGCTGTGGGACGGGGTGTGGGGACATGGGGTGGCGCCCCGCGGTCTCGGTGCAGCGCCGGCACTTCTCTCCTCCCAGCTCTCTACTGGTTCAACTACGAGCTGGTGCGGGAGTGGCTGTGCAGGCAAACCCGGCTGGATGAGGCCACCTTCATGGTCAGCTTTGTGTCCGGGGCCATCTCTGGGACGGTGAGTGGGGGGGTTTGGGAGCTGCAGCCCCCCGGGGCAGACGAGAGAAGTGAGATGGCACCCACAGCCCTGCCTGCTTGCTGCAGGTGGCCGCCGTGCTGACGCTGCCCTTCGATGTGGTGAAGACTCAGCGGCAGATCCAGCTGGGAGACAGTGAGCTGCACCCAGGTGAGGGGGCTTCTCACTGTGCAGCAGGTGTTGGGGCTCTGGGCATCCCCTAACCCCCCTCCTCTCTCCTTGCAGCTGCAGCCTCCAAGCCTTCGTCCACCTGGCTGCTCCTGCAGCGTATCCGTGCTGAGTCTGGCACGCGGGGGCTGTTTGCAGGTAGGGCTTTAACACGCGCTCCCCTTCTTGCCCTGGTTTGGGGTTTGTGGGCATGGAGCTGACAGTGCTGTCCTTGCAGGCTTCCTGCCCCGTGTCATTAAGGTGGCACCCGCCTGTGCCATCATGATCAGCACCTACGAGTTTGGCAAAACCTTCTTCCAGAAGCTGAACCAGGAGCGGCAGCTGCGGGGGCTGTGAGCTGGGAGCTGTGCTCCATGGAGCAGGGCCGGTGCCAGCCCTGCTGCTGGCCCAAGTGCCTTCCCATGGCACCCTCCACAACCTGGACGTGGCTCACAGCGTGGATGCAGCCCGGGGGGGGGACCGCCTCCATCGTGCCCTGCTGGGGACATTGGTGCCCGCTGTGATGCTGTGGGGATGCAGCCCTGCATGGCCGTGCCTGTGCTCACCTCCTGCATTGGACAGATGCTGCTGCTGGACTCGGGCTGGGTGCTCCCAGCCTCCTTGAGGGCAGGAGCCGGAGCTCCAAGCTGGACCAAACCCTGGGGGCTGCTCCGTGTGCCTGAGCCCTGCTTTGTGCCCTTCCTCGTTACGCACAGCCTCCCCTGTAGCCCTGCATGACGTGGGGACTCACCACAGCTCTGCCTCCGGCCCTTTCCTCCTCCTCAGGACCTCCCCGGCTCCCAGTTGCCCTGGGTTTGGACCCTGTGTGGGGACAGACCTCCCTGCTGCTCCGAGGGGCCAGGCTTGGATCTGTGACCTGACCCTTCACCACGAGGGTCTGCCCTATGTGGGAGCTGCCCTCCTTCCGCCTTGGGGGGGCAGTTTCTCTTATTTTCTTAAATAAAACTAAAGGTCTCCTAGGGTGTGGAGTCCTCCCCATCCTCCACAGAGAGGAGAGCGATGCTCACCTGCAGCCAGGCTCACAGGGGCCGTGGTTGGCAGCCCCCAGCTGTGCTCTGCTATAGGGAGCTGCCAGCTGGGGCGCCCTGCAGTCCCCCATCGCGTCTGGGGGGCGCTTTGCTCTTTTCCCCCACCCCCCTGGCTGCACGCAGAGCCCAGCTCCTATCGCTGCGTTTATTGATTCCTTTTGCACCAACAAGGCAAGATGAAGTTGAATCCAAACCCAAAGGGAGAAAGGGGGCGGGAGGGGAGCGGGTTCCTATCAGTTTCGGGGATGGTGTTGCAGGAGAAGCAGTCGGGTCCCATGGGTGCTGAGAAGGGGGTGTTTGAGCCCAGACCCCTCCTCTGCACCCAGCAGCTTTCTCCAGGGTTCCCCGTGCCGCACAGTTCATCACCCCCTGCCCAGCTCGGTGGATATGGGGGCATTCACGTCCCATCCCCGTCCCGACGGCTCTGCGTCCTTCATCCTCCGTCGGTCCCAGCAAGGAGGGGATGAGGTTCAGTCCTCCGCGGCGCTGCCGGACGGGGGGGGGCGGGGGTCTCAGCTGGGGCTGCGGGTGGGGCTGGCTTCGTTGCTGTCGCTCACCAGGCACTCGTTGGATTTGAGGCTGGCCAGGGACTTGCAGCTGGGCAGCGAGGCCAGGGAGCCGCAGAGCCCCAGCATGGAGGGCGTGGGGTCCTTCCCTGCGGGGACAGAGCGCGTGGCGGGGGCTGCGAACGGGGATGGGGCCGGACCGGGGGGGGTGGGGACCCGACGGCTGAGTGGGAAGCAGCC